ACGTCACAAATAGATGTGCAGACGATTTTTAAATTGGTACATCGGATGCCTATACCATGTCTCCTTCTGCCATGTGCACTACATATTGTAACAATCACGAAGTAATTGTTACATTTATTTCGCACTTATTTCAAATTCTTGCGCTTCTTTTTTACTGACATGACGCTTGGCCGTGTAATTGATAAGGCGCGAGGATCAGCGGAAAAAGACATAAAAAGAGAGGGGTTCTGATAAAGATTTAAAAATGGTGGCGAGTAATTCTGTGGGCTGAATTTTATTAATAATACCACCTTACAAGTATTATACACTAAAATTAAGTGATTAAATAGGACCGATAACACCTAGGTAACATTTTTATTTGGTAAAATTAAAATAGATTTCTAATCATTGGGAATTCTCTAGGTCCTTTTTTTTATGTCTCCTTGGTTGTAATTTTGACCATAAAGTCAGAGTGCTAACCATCATAGTGTTGCTGCTATACGCCCCTGCTTTTGTGTGGACTGGTTCCGTTGAGATACCGATTCTTATGGGCCGATGGTACGTCTGATATCTTGGTGCTGTCATTGGTGTCATGTTGGTGACTCCCTACCAAACTCTGGAGTCAAGAGAGTTAATTTGAAATAGCCGTGGGATGTGGTAGCTGCCTTTTTTTTTGTTGATTAGTCCGAAATACCATCCCCTAACAACTATTTGGAGGTATTTACTGTACAATTTATGGTTTATGGTGGCAAAGAGGTCCACAAGATGTGATTATTATAATTGTTATAAGTGTTAAGTTATGGTTTTGCTATAGTAGTTATTAATTCGTAGCTTTAATCTATAATTGTTAGTAGGTACGTTAATCATTTAGGAGCATTTTAGAAGGCACTTACCTATTTATGGTTTCGATCCCAGCATTTATTATCAGATAAAGAAATTTATTATAACATACGAGAGTGACGGCATTGGGAATATCAGTTTTCGTGGCGTAAGCACATAAGGTAATCAAGAATCAAGGTAAAGATTATTTTACCCACTTTGTAATTCTTAAGGGTCGTTTACACGCTTAAGCGTCATGTCATTGCCGATCTAGAGTAAGCCATTCCGGAAGTTCAGTTTCAAAATTATATTGTTATTGCATATTTAAAGCAAGTCATTTCGGAAATTCAGTTTCAAAATTATATACATATCAGCGAGTAGGTGTTGTTTCTGTCATTCTACCTACTACCTCTTCTTCCCTCTTCGTCTAAACTTTACTTTTTCATTTTCTCGTCGACATTCTGTCGACTGGCGCCCAAAATATTGTTACCACCCCAAATAATAAAGATCCACGACCTTGCCCCGATTAAATCTAGCTGCCGGTGCTGTAGCTGACGTCAGACGGGAGTGACGTCACAATATAAACATATACATATATGCATAAGTCATCAACACGTACGTTTGCTTATTTTGTGACTGCTCCCCGTACAACGTACTGACTAATACGTCCGTTTACTACCCTATCGACATCACGTGTTTACACACTATTTTTACCCCCTTTCGTAAGGTACAGCCACTTCACAATGAAGCGAGTGAGATGTGAAATATATGTTTATTCTTTTCTGCATGGGAAAATGATTCTCCGTATAGGTTGTCCAACTAGAATAAACTTAAACAATGGTAATAAAATAACCATCTTACGCTCAAGTGGTTAGTTTGTGTAAATTCATCGAAACAATGTTTGAAGTTTTTTTTCCCAAAACACAAGACTAAAATTATTATATTATTAATTAATAATAATATTAATAATAATAATAATAAATGGTTTATTTCCAAACAGGTTACAAACCCAATTACAGGAAATCTATAAAAAACAAAAGTAATATATATTACAAAATAATAGCAAAATTAAATAAAAATGTATATATAAAGAATTAAAAAGAAAATAATACAGATTCAACTAATTAAATATAAATAAATACATCTTCTAGTTAAATGTTGTTAAGGTGGCGTCTGCAGGTGATGTTAACAATAGAGTTCAAAGAATCGAAATGTATATCGCAAAATTTAGATATGTTATTAAATTCATTGCACATCATAACTATAGGCGAATTACATAATACGTTTGTCCTATATGATATATTATAAAACGTTTGGCCTTGACGAGAATGAATGCGAGGAACTAAATACAGTGGACCCGCTTAATGTGATCACTTTGGGACTCAGACAAATTGATCACACTAACCGACTGATAACAATAAGCGAAAACCACCATCAGAGATCTTCATCATGAACAAGACAGTGTTTATTATGCTGGTAGATGAAGGTCCATAAACATTATAATTTATTTTGAATTTTGGTTATCATTCTGAGAAAGGAACTCTTCATTTCCTTTGCTTATTTTAGAAGTTTGTTAAGAAAGGGCTAAGAAGTTTTTTTTTTCTCTCTGATAAGATGAGATGTCGTCGTTCTGACGTGCTCATTTTTACATAAGTATTACTCAAATTTAAAATAGAAAAAATGCGTTCATTCAAAAGACGAAAACACACTAATTAAGTCCGTCACTGATTGTGGCTGTATAAAGTAAAGTAAGTACTATAAGCGAATGTACCTTTTGCGAGCAATGAATGTTCATTAAAACACAATGCTAGTTTCAGTCGTCTCGCTTCTCCAAAAAAGCAATTAATTCCCGCTGGTATAAGAATTGCGAGATTGATCACAATAAGCGAAATATTGATCACAATAAATGGAAAAACTGTAATGCATTGGTATTGCGTGGGCCCGTTCCAAGCCATTTTGATCACACTAAGCGGTTGATAACATTAACCGTGATCATATTAAGCGGCGTCTACTGTAGTTGACTTTGTTTAGCAGCATTTCACAATCAATCCTATTGTTTACTAAATTAGTTAAAAATTCCATCGAAATTATTATTCGCCTCAGTTGAAGAGGTATAAAGTCAAATCGCTGTAACAGTGCTGCATGATCATAACCCCTCTCAGTGTATATACCATCGACAGTGAACCATAGAAACTTCAAAAATTTTCGTTGGACACCTTCCAAGTTGTTAATATGCACTTGATATATTGGATGCCAAATAATTGAACCATATTCTAACTTCGATCGAATAAGTGCATAGCACAAGTTATAGAGAGTTTTAATATTATAAAAATCCTTACAATTTTTGTAACAAATCCATACATTTTATATGTTTTAGCAATAATATCATTAATATGATCCACAAAGGTAAATTTTGAATCAAAATTGATTTCCAAATCTCTGATCTTATTTTTCCGTTGTAAAATGAATCCTTCGATGTTGTAAGAAAAGGTAATAGGGGTATTCTTTCTTGTAAAAGACATAACAAAGCATTTATTCTTGTTAAGTGTTAGATTATTCAGTTTACACCAATCAAGTAAACGATTAAGATTGTGTTGAAGAATATCACAGTCTCGTGCACTATGAACTTCAACAAACAGTTTAAGATCGTCAGCAAAAATCAATTTTTCACAGGTAAGTTCATTAACAATGTCATTAATAAATATTATGAATAATAAGGGTCCTAAATTGGACTCCTGTGGGATACCGGAAGTCGGAGAGATGGATTTAGAGCTAAAATTACGATATATATAACAACTTGCTGCCTATTCATTAGATATGATTGGAATAATGTAATCAAGGGATCTGAAAAACCATATTGCCGTAACTTGTCTAATAAATATTTAATGGTCAATTTTATCAAATGCTTTACAAAAATCCGTATAAATTGTATCCACTTGACCACGATTATTAATGGATTCAGAAACGAATTGTGAAAAACATGAAGATTAGTTACAGTAGATTTTTTTTAAAGACTCGGCTCCCTGCGGTCGCCTCGTTCTGAAACATCTCACCCGTACTGTAAAATTTGAGTTTTATAATAACGTTATTTACTATTTACGTTTTCACTAGCATTAACAAGTATTTAAAATAACAACTAATAATTTGTTTGCATTATTTATTCATTATAATAATCCCATTTATTTATCAGACAATTTTAAACGAAATAAAATCTAACTGACTAGAAATAACGTTAGTTGTGTTAGGCTCATCTGGTAACGTTGTAAATTATCTAAATGCTCACTATGAGATTTTTGCACATTTTTTTCGTCGTTCTCTATCGAGTGGTAGATTTACCCGCTGTATTTTTGCTGTTAAGTAGGTTACCTATGCACGCGATTGGGGCACAGTATCTATACTGTGATTGGGGTCCAAGCTATTCGCCGGCGATTGACGGCCAATTGTTGGTGCGCCATCTCTTCTTCGCCGGCCTTTGGCCTGTTTGCTCCAAACAATAACATTCATAATTTGAAAGTCTCTGTCCTGCCTGTAAACTACAAAGTCATTATGAAAAAGTTCACTATCCATTATATCACTGTCTAACCAAGTTTCAGTAATTGCTACAACTTCAATATTCGTATTTAAACAGATGTTATTATAGACATCCCTAACCTTAATACACAATCCTCCAGTGGCGGCTCGTCATATGAGGCAAGTGAGGCGGCGCCTCACAGCATATATCTTAAGAACAGATTGATTTAATTTATAATTAAAATAGAGCTCTCAATGCATTTTTAGTTACAAAAATATGTTGAAATGGTAAATCTGTAGATTATTTTTTATTTTTTACACTTTCTGCGGACATTTTCCGTTGAATACTGTACGATTTATGCCCCGAATTCTTTAACTGAAGCGGCCAGAGCGTCGGTTCATTTGAGCCAATGAAGCCCAATCACAGACACGGATTTCCATGACTCAGCTGCTATACTCCTATACATGAATTCGCTCGGAACTGAGGCGATATCTTCGATGCTTCTCGGCCAATTTCGACGGACCCATTAAAACATTTTCCCATTTATTTTACAGAATGGAAGGGGTGCAGGGTGCGTGGGTAATTAGCATTAACGTGAATAAAAGTCCAGGAGTTGGTGTTTCATATTTTTGTCTCTTTCATAGGTACAGGGTACAGGTGAGTGAAAAATGAATCCCGAGTACGATAGCATACATTAATTTCAACACCCATGCGGACCAATGGGCAATCCGCTTTACAGAGTCCAATAAAAGGCAGAGCACTTTAGCGCGCCAAATACAAAACGGAAAACGCTCGAACTCTTGTTGCGTGTTTCTCCCTTCATGCAGAGGGGGTAGTTTGTGCTACAGAGCGTGCACTCGTGCAGAGTTCAGCGTTTTAAGCGGGAAAACATTTGTCCGTAAAAGTCACTGTTCTCTAGATTTTTGCGAACGCAATTTAAGTGTATATAGTGAAGCTGTTAAAAAATCAGCAATTATTATTGCTTTAATTTTCTCGCTGCTATCAATGTATTAGTTCACTGTTCAATAGTTAATTGAAAAATGGAAAGGTATGTTTGAGGTTACGTTGTATAATTATTTATTAATAAGTATTGAATATTTTTATGTAAGTCCACCAACTTGTAATGCATGTCACAAGACATTTAGCAGCGTTTCGACAAAAAACCGGCACATGAAGACAATGCACAATATAATGATCGAAGAAAAAAAATCGAAACACATTCGTTGCCCTTTATGCCCCGTAGAACAGGAAACTCTAGTAAACCAGGAAATGCTAATTAATCATTTAACAGAAATACACGAAGTAAGTATTAAACAATTTGACTTGAGTTTTAGAAATATGGAAGAATTTCAATTGTGGAGATCGAAGGAAAATAGAGAAGTAGATTATGCATGTGCTAGAAGTAAAAAAACGTCAAATGGTGACCAATTAATCTATTACAATTGTAACCGAAGTGACTCTTATGGTGCGTTGTTTAACGTAATTATAAAATGGATAATAACTGTTACAATGATGTGAATTTAGGCTTCCATAGTAGATGTACGAAGAGGGGAATGAAGACTGGAGGCACTATTCGAATTTCAGGAATATGTCCATTAAGGATAGTCGTTAGAATCTGTGGAAATGGTAACTTTTATGACTTCAAATTAATGGTAGTTATGGTGCAAACATTTTTAGGTATGGTGAATGTAAAATTTGTTGAAACACATGTTGGACAGCAAAATGAATTAAGAACAAAAAGGTTAACGAAAGAAGATCAAATGATATTAGTGGAACAGTTGCATGCAGGAGTAACAAATGAAAGAATACTACAGGATGCACGAAAAATCAATGAAAACCAATTGGAACGAAAAAATTTAATAAGAAGAGGGGATTTAGAATATTTGATAAGGAAATTTAATGTGAATAAAAGACGAAATGCAGATGACACGGTGGCTACAGCTTTGAAGATTGAAGAGTGGAATGAAGATGGGAAAAATTATGCATTTTTATTTAAGAGAAAAGGTAACTAAACATTCATATAAATTACTTAGCTTTTTTGCATGAAATATTACTAAAATTGTAATAGTAGTGGGTTAGTTTTTAGAAGTAGATATTTATAGGGTACCTGGTGAAAGAATGGCGGTGGAATTAATATGTTTCAGGTGAAAGTCACCCTGACCTATTAGATACAGATTTTGCAGTTGGATATATGAATGAGATAATGGAGAAGAAATTGAAAGATTTTAAACGAATAATTTGTATTGATGGAACACATGGAACCAACAGAATGAATTATGAGTTAACAACAATTCTAATAAAAGATGAAGATAATATGGGTTTCCCAGTGGCCTTTTTAGTTTCTAATAGATTGGATACATTAATTCAGAAAGTTTTTTTTGCAGCGTTAAAGGAAAAATTAGGTCACATTATTGAAGCTGAATATGTGATGAGTGATGATGATCCAAAATATTATAATGCATGGATTGACATAATGAAGACTGAAAGAAAACCACGACGACTACTATGTAGTTGGCATGTTATTAATAATTGGAACATTCAAAGACGATCAAAGTTAAAGAAACAAGAAAATAGACTCAAAATGAAAAAAGAGATGCGAAACATTTTAAAAGAGACCAAAGTCGAAAAGTTTATAGAACTCAAGGAAAATTATTTCAACCATCTAATGGAGGAAAATGAATTTTCTTTTTTAAATTATTTAAAAAAGTATAATTTTTATACCATTTCAAATAGGAAAAGGGTGTAATTATTATTACCTTTAGGAACTACTTTCAGAATGAAGATAGGATCATGATGTGGGCTCACTGTTTTAGGATTAATGTTGGAATTAACACGAATATGGCCATAGAATCCCTAAATAAAGTATTGAAACATAATAAAATGAAGGGGAACCGTAATATCAGGTTAAAATAATTATTAATGTTTTAGTGAATTACATAAAATATAGTAATTTATATAACTATAAAATTAATAGCTATATAAAACTATTATATTTCCAGAATTGAAAAATTATTAGACATGTTAGAAGAACTAGTAAACGAAAAAATGTGGAAAAAAATTTTGAACACTGAAAGACCAAATGCCAATAATTATCAACATAAAGTAACAGCAGAAGCACATAAGAAGGCGGAAAATATGACAAATTGTGTAGAAACAATTGAGTTTGGTAAGTTCAGGGTAAAATCATCAACAGGTAAACATTTTTAATGCGTGTCTTATAATTTAATTTGTGATAAAGATTGTCGAAGTATGTATTGCAATGAATGTAAAGCAGGGTTTGTAAAACTACATGTAAAAAACATTAACTACATTAATTACGTTACGTGTAGTTTTTTATGTCGTTAATATGTAGTTTTTACTTATACGTATATCAAGATACAAATGTCAAATCTTCTAACCTCCAACTGTAAAGTCAGCAAACTTAAGTTTTGGAAACGGCTTGTGAGTTGTGTGGTGAGAATAAGAAAGATGCCGGGTAGAAAATACCACAACTTTTGGTCAGTAGGGGAATTTACTACAATAAAAATTAACAGTAAAGTTGCTGCTGTTTGTAATATTTGTAATAAAATTTTGAAAAATACGTCGAAACAAAGGCTCCTCGCTCATAGGTCTGTTTTATACCATTCACGATTTAATTAGAATAATAATAATGTATTTTGTTGTTTTCTTCAATAAATTATGAAAATATTATTGGTATATATGTACTTTTGGCCCCTTTCATTTTGGAAATAAGTTCTGTTCTGTAATAATGTGATCACTGAGTAAAGACTAAAGAGTATGCTATCAGCATTCAGCAGTCCTGGTCTGCTGGTCTAGCACTTATTTCATAAAAAAGAATAAATTTACTCAACGTAAAAATTGGTGTAATTAATTATGTAGATAATTGTTAATTAATGACGTAAAAAATAGTTAAAAACTACGTGTAATATTACGGTATAATAACACTTCATTAACTACTTACAAACCCTGATGTAAAGTATGTTTCCATAGATATAAGTGTGAATGTCCAGAATTTAGTGTGAAAACTGCTGTATGCAAGCATATATGCGGTCGTTCTCTATGAAAGGAGAGTGCATGGATCTGTTTTAGATACTTTAAATACAGGTACAGGAGAGCCTTCAAATGCTAATGAATATACCAAAAACAAATACCAGGATGACTTAAATTTATTTTTAGAAGAACAAATGAGTGAAGGAAATAATCCAATTGATTTTGAAAGACAAAAAAAGGTGTATTAAAGAATTGTGTTTTGAAGTATGATTAGTAAAATTGATTTTTTTTTATAGATTGAGCTAGATGAAGTGGTTAATTATACGATGAAATTAGATAAGGGGTCTTTTGAAAAGTTTATGAACATGTTTAGGAATTTTAAGAATAACCTGGAGCGTGCAGAGACGACTGAAGTACTTAATAAGAAGAGGAAAATAGAAAAACAGACGTATTATCCAAATAGAAAATAAAATGGTAAAATTTGTGAGAAAATTATTGGTGGGGGCGGTAGCTAGTCTGGTGATAGATTGCAAATAAAACTGCTTTTATAAATTTAGTTGTTTTCTTGTACATATTCTTGAAATAAAATTTATAGTTATTACTGTATGATGGATTCTTTAAAAATGTAGTTAGTATATAAATTTGTTAGTGTTTTTTTATGGGTGTTACTGGTGTTGACTAGAGCTTGTTGGTTTGTAATTTGTAACCAATATATTTCTCAAGTGATTTGTGTTTTTTTTTTAATAAATATATTGCACAATTTATATGTGTATTATTTTATTGTCGTCTGAAGCATTTTCCGAGTTTTAAATTTCATTTACGTTCCAATTTTATACAGTGCGTTTTTTAACGAATGCATGGATTTACATGGTGTAAACTTCATCTCGTTTTAATGGTTTTTCTACTGCGAGTTTCCAAACTCTGATTGGTATACGCTTACTTTACATTATTTTTACACGTTATGACAGTTTTTGAAGTCCAAAAAGTAAAAAAAAAATATTCCGATTTTTAATGTTTTATATTTCATTGTCACCAAAGAATGTCACAATAAAATGATAATGACAGGCCGTAACCATTTAAACCTTTGCTTGAGTTGTATAAATGGACGTTTTTTATTTGTATGTAAAGGTCAGGGGACACGTCTTCAAAAATATTAGATCTCAGGTAAAGTGATTAAAATGATGGAATTATTTTAATTTTTAATTGGACTATCTGTGGCTCTAAAAATTATCAGAATTTGTAAAAAATAATGTGAACTAAGCGTGTACTTGCAGCAGAAAAACCATTAACACGACTCAAAGTATACGGCATGTCAATCCCTATAATGCATCCATAAAAAAAAAACCCACTGTACAAGATTAATTTTAAATTTAAATTACGCGCCATTGGAAGACCCCGCCTCTTCTGTGTAATTGGTCCGCATGGGTGTTGAAATTAATGTATCCTGAGTAAGATATTGTCATGTTGCTTCTTGAAACGCCGTTTTCACGACGAACCGAGTTAGAACGTCGGTAAATTTTGCTAAATATCGAACAGTCAAAACCGTTAACTTCCATTGATAAGCGACAATGTCATCAGTACTCCAGGTCTTTTAAACCAGCCTGGTACGAAACATAAACGGCTCTGCCGTAGCCATAATATTTATGCTGAAAGTCTATATTGTTGGCCGTGTCTACTCTTAGGCAATGTAAAAAACACATGGACGACGTCTCCGGAATATAACGATTTAAAGGATTTCATTCGAAGTGCAAAGTTACACAAAAGTTCCAAAGTACACATTAAAAATTTCATGGGCTTAAAAGATTTAGAAAGGAACACTATTGCCGAATCCCTCCAAGAAAGTGCTAGTTTAAACAAAATTTTGACTTGTAAAAACATTGTTGATTAAATGTGTTATGGGTGTTAATATTATTATTACTATTATTAGGACCCACTACTGACTGGGAAATGAACGATATTCAGGCAAGACTTCTATCATTACTAACTACTAAGACCAAGTAATACGCATTAATCACATTAATTTAATTAATTTTATTATTGATAATATTATTGTCAAACTTCTATCATCGCTAGACAGCGGATTTCTGTCGGGCTACGTCACGATATAGGTGGGGACGCGCTGCATCGCCGGGACTCAGTAGCGGGTGATAGGTAATCACTGCATTTAATTGTCACTTGATTCCATAAATACAATTAACGATTTATTAATCAAACGGCTAAGTAAATGAGAACTGGAATTAACAGCAGAGTGCAACGAAGCAGCGTTATTCTAATCTCAAATAAACGAAGTGCAGCCGTAACAGCAATAAATTCCCATCCCGTACGAGCCGTACCGAGTTTGGCCTTGTCTAGCCCGACAGAAATCCGCTCTCTAATCATCGCCTCACCACATCAGACAGTCACGAGCCGCCACTGCAATCCTCGGACATTTTGATAAAAACAACAAAGAGGAGATTTATTATTTTGATAATGTGGCTTAATAATGTTTGAACATATTGGATTCTTTGTTAGAGAATAGAAGTGCAAACTACCAGAAGTAAGTACAATTGGTTGCTATATGACCAGGCCAAAAATGTCCTGTTTTAGTTCCGTAATGATATTATTATGAGCACTGCATTTCTCATAATCGCAAACAGCATGATTGATATCTATATCCAGATTCTTATTTTTTATATTTAATTTATTACAACTGACGCATTTTAAAGAGACTGATTCCTAATTACAATCTTTCAAGCCATGACTAGCGCCGCATCTAGGACAAGATAGAGGGTTTCTGCAGTATTTAGATGAATGACCGAATGCATTGCAGTTAAAGCACCTAGTAATATCAATGGCATCATATATGGAACACCCATTTAATCCTATAAGACAATGTCCAAGACTTATAGCTTTTTTATATATATCTAGGTCAACTTCTAATGCAGCCTGAAAGATTTCTTCATTTTTCTTTATAGTACCTACTAAATTTCAATACCTTACAAACTGCACAATCACCGAAGATAGATTCGTTTTGCTTCTTCATATAAGAAACTAGGTCGTCTTGATCAACATAATTAGGAATTCCAGAAATTCTGATGCGGGGTCCAGGTGTTTTGATTTCACGTACTTCATATGCATCTGCTAATTTGTCTTTGGCGACCTTCTTAAATAAGGTAGGGTTATCACACTTTACGAGCAAACGACCCTCTTTGAATGTTTTAACTTTGCCGATATTAATGTTGTCTTTCAGAGGGTTTACATTTTTGATTACATCACAATCAAACGAAATGTTCTAAATATTATAATTCTTATTTTATCATTATTATATAATATATAAAGACCCGTGTATTCTTCACATTTTCGAGAAAATGGGGTGACACGTTCTTAATTTAACCAATAAAAAATTTGTGACGACGTCATCAACATGGATAATACTACCATATTAGTCACAGCGTATTACCAGTGCAAGAATAAACAAGGACACGTCTATCAACTTGGATTGGTGCAGTGTAATGCTAAATATAACAGTACAATATTCCCAAAATTTTGTGAGAAAATGGAGTGAGCCGTTCCTGATTTAATCAATAAAACTTATTGACTCATTCATTAATTTTTTTGAGCCACTTGTTTAAACAAATCTAAAAAATATGAATGCATTGATAAATCACAAGTAAATACTCATCATATTTTGCACATTTTGGATAGAATTAATTCGGCAAAATTTTGAGACCAAGTCATCAATTTTTTGGAGGAATAAACAGATATGTTTTGATTAACAATGTACCATGCTCGCAATAACTTTAAAACGTCTGTAAGGTTTCAAAGTTTTCAGTTTTGCAATTCTTGATTTATTCTATAAAATAAATCGACAATTCATGAATTGTTTTGAATCACTCTATATAAGCAAATTTAAAAAATATGAATACAGTCATGAATTACAGGTATAGACTGATCATATTTTACATATTTTAGACAGGATTTATTCGTCAAAATTTTGAGCTGACATCATCAATTTTTGGAGGGGATAAGCAAATACATTTTGATTAAAAATGTATCATGCTTATCATAACTTTAAAACATCTGCAAGATTTCAAAGCATTCGGTTTTGCAGATTCAAAATTAAATTGTAAAATGTTATTTTATAATTTTGATTCTTTTTTAATCTGGACGTTTCCGGTAAAAACTCAACACTACATGTGTAGAACCATGTTATTTTATACAATTTAAAACCCATTTACCTACTATGTACAATTTTAGAGTGGCGGTATCGCATTATTGGTAGGAATGACTAGACAAATTAATTTTGGTTAACGTTTTACCGTCTACATAACATTCCTAATATAAACACAAAATTTGAAAACAATAGGCCCAGTACTTTCGGAGATTATCTGTCTAATAAAAATCCGGGACGGCAGACAGACGACAAGCCGGACAGACAGACAGAGACCGAGGGAATGCGAAACTATGTTAAATAAACAAACACACTTAAAATGCAGAAAAATATATATATTCTTTGAAATTTTTAAATGTACATCAATGCTGCACACAAGTTTTTTTTACATATTACTTTTAAAATTTTGTTTATATGGAGCACACCACTTCTTTCGTGCATAATATACGGCCACAAATGTTACCACTAAAAGTGCAAGACCTGTAATAATACCTGTAGATACTGCCCGAATTTTTTTATACGTTGGTATTAATAAACTAAATTTTTCGCTTACTGCTTGTTGATCATCTCCTGAAACCGCTATTATCTGAATATTATATTCGATACCTTCCGACAACGTCGTTACTGAAAATCTTTCGTGTACATATTGAGGAAATATTTATTCAAGCTAATTACATAGGTATGACGTGTTCTTCGTTTCCGCCGAGCCAAAGAGATGATTTTCAGGTTCTTCAAACCATCTGACGACATAAAACTTTAAATTTTCAGCGCCATACTCCGGAGGTTCCCAGGTTACCACAAATCCATGATCTGTGGGAAAAACAGAAATGTTTCTTGGATAACCTACCGGCGGAAATAAATTGCTTCTATATCTATCAGCTTCGCCGTTTACTCCTTTGGTCCATACCCGTACTGATTTACTGAAAAGACCATCACCACTCTCATCCTTGCACAATACCATGAACTCGTATTCTCTACCTAAAAAAAAATAATAGGATTAGTTTACAACTTTATAACACTTTTTTTTTGTACAAAGCGTCTATTAAGTTCTTTGCTTTGAGCGCATTCATGTTGGCTGTTCTATCAACTGCCCCATCGTTTAATATTTATCGAACAATAGTTGTCTGCTACTTACAAAAGACCTCTCGACCTCGAAAACTTGCCGATAATTTTTCATCAATACTCGGGAAATTGATGAAAAATTATCGCCAGAGAGCGGTCTCGGGATCTTACTATTGATAATAATTTGACAACATTGTTTTTCTTGTTTGTTGATAAACGCAGTGTGTTTATTTAAATTTAGTGAGTCAGGGCATATTTTTGTTAAAAAATTTATATATACCTCTGACTGTGTTGATTTAACATCATATATGCGAGAAAAATTAAAAAAAATTGGTCTAAAGAGTTTAGACAGTACTTCCCTCGCTGTCGGAAACGTGACGACTGCATGTCTATTATGTTTTTTTTTTTCGCAGTAGATTTCATTATTTTTTTTGAGTCACCCGGTATATGCAAATTCAAAAAATACGAATGGAATGATAAATTACAAGTACAGACTCATCATGTTTTGTATATTCTAGATAGGATTAATTCGGCAAACTTTTGAGCTGACGTCATCAGTTTTTTGTAGAAGAAAACCAAATATATTTTGACTAAAACTTTATTATGCTCTTTATAACCTTAAAACATCTGCAAGACTTCAAAGCATTCGGTTTTGTAGTTCCTGATTAACTCAATAAAATAAATTCACGCATTTATTAATTTTTTTGAGTCACCCTGTATATGGAAATCGAAAAAATTTGAATGGAATGATAAATGACAAGAAGGGACTCACCATATTTTGTACATTTTAGATAGGATTTATTCGGCAAAATTTTGTGGTGACGTCATAAATTTTTTAGGGGGGATGAGCAAATACATTTTGATCAAAAACTTACCATGCTTATGATAACTTTAAAACACCTTCAAGATTTCAAAGCAATCGGTTTTGTAGTTCCTGAGTAAATCAGTAAAATAAATTTACGCATTCATTAATTTTTTTGAGTCAATAAACAGATATATTTTGATTAACAATTTACCATGCTTGCAATAACTTTAAAACGTCTGCAAGAGCAGGAGTTTGAGAGTGAATTAATTATCCACCCTACTTCCACCCCTAGGTATTAGGGTAGTCTTCACCATTTGAAATTATTCATCACCGGGACAGCGACGAGACGGCATCGCCACCTGTCCTGTACGTCATTTTATTTAACCCGTGCCGGGGTATTTTTCTACCCCACACTCACGAATTGTTGAATAACTTCTCAAATTTTTTTATGATCTAAACTTTGATCGATATAGTTGTGTGTTAAGGCATTGCTACAAAAACTTAACAATTCATTTTATTAGAACCCCCCACTGATCCCGTAAATGACCGTCATACGATGTTTCTTCAAATATTGGACCTTCTAGAGTTTTTAATAATTTATAATAGTTACTTACAAGTGAGAAACAAATAAAATATTGAACAATACACGCAAGGTAACGGGTTTTTACTGGCACCAAAAGGCCTCGCCTGCGACTCGCCAGTCATATCCTTCTGTTCGCCAGTAAAAACCCTTTTAGCACGTTAGTAATGTTAAATACTATTTCTATTGTATTTGTCAAATTTATTTTGTGTCTGCTTTAGAATGACGCCTCTGATTTTCTGACGTTTTCAACATCAACGTGACAGAAAAATTGCACTTACAATAGAAAAATTAAATAAAAATTGCTGACATGAGTAGTTTAGATCTTTCCATTTTTTTGGCCGTCATAAACAAACTTTGCTCGTTTAATAGTGTAAGATTATTTCATGTAATTAATTAATTTCATTTTCATTTCAATATTTTAAATACTTGTGAAGCTTTCTTGAAATTAATAATTTTTTTAACTTCTAATAACAATACTTTTTAATCAAAGGGGTCAACCTTTTTCACGGAGTAAATTACCAGGGCTATTCAACAAAGACTAGGAGTAGTACTACCAAAACTTTATTTATTAATCTTGAACAATAATACTCCTCTCACTTTCTGTATATTCCCCTTGTACTGCAATGACTTTATCCCAACCGTGCTGTCATTCTATAAAAACATGATGAAACTGATGAACGCCATTTTTTTGAGAGCCTCTTTAAAATCGCCTCTAAAGTCTTAACAGCATCCAATTCTGTTTGAAACCGTCGTCTTTTAAGCTTTTTTTTGCTTGAGAGAACAAATGGAAGTCGCATGGGGCTACATCAAAGCCTATACGGAAGATGCGGTACACACTTAATATTTTTACTGATCAAAAATTCAGTCACAACATTAGCCACGTGCGGGCGAGAATTATCGTGATGACGTTTCCACTTTCGCTTCATTTCGGGTCGTTTTTTAGGAATGTGATCTTTGGTCAACTGATGCAAAACTCCTTTGTAATAATTTGCGTTTACCGTAGTACCATGTGGGACCATATGGGTATATACCATACCCTTGTAATAAAAAAATGTTAAAACCATACCTTTTGCGGCAGATTTTTGCCCGCGTGCTTTTTTGGGTGGCAGCCCTCCTTTTTCTACTCACTGTGTGCCGTGTTGCCTCATCTCCGAAAGAAGCCTACTTCAATAATATTTTCTGCGTTTTAGCCTTTCGTAGCTACTCATGCAGGGCCGTAAAAAATCAGTCCTAGTCTTTGTTGAACGGCCCTCGTACATCAATTTAACACATAATTATTTTCTATTATTAAATTTAAGTGAAGAACCATTCATTTAGGACATTATGATTTCACAGTTTTAAAATATTTATTTGAAAAAAATATTTGGTAGCAACCTTTTCTTAAAATAATACGTTATGAGTACTTACCAGGATTTAAACCAGTAATAGTAGCCTCTAAACTTCTAGGTGAAAAAACGTTGTGGGTTTTCCATTCTGAACTACCCACAGCCTTATACCATACACTGTATTCAACGGTATGTTTTTGTCTTCCTGGCAGCCACGCTAAATGTATTGAGGTAGCTGACGATACTGCAGTTAAATTCGAAGGTGCACTTGATGGAATGTTTTCAACCAATAGTTCAGTTTCAGTTGTAATTGTTGCTGCTTTGTTAGTAGCAGAGCACTGATAAATCCCTCTGTCTTCTTCTTGAATATTTATAATAGTCAAATTTCCATCCCTTATCGAATACCGTCCCATAGGAAGCGAGGCACCGTTTTTCTAAAATACGGAATCATTTGTACGTAATAATTATTGCATAGTCTGGAAATTACTTACTTTGTACCATAATATAATAGGTTTATGACCGTTTTCACCATCGCGTGCGTTACACGGCATTTCAATTGTTTCCCCAAGCTTTCTTATATATAAATTATGAGGAGTTACGACAAACACGGGAGGGCGTTGGACAGTAACAAATATTGGTGATGACGGACCTTGAGTACCTAATTCGTTAAAAGGAGTGCAAGTGTAACGTCCATTGTGACTTTCGTCAACTTTGGTGAAATATAAGCTGCCGTTTCTTCTATAAAATACACCTTGGATATTGTATGGATCAAAAAGGAAACCATCTTTTTCCCAGCGAAGGTTGGTTAATGGGGGATTGGCTCGAAAGTGACAGTCTATTAAAGCTGGACGACCATATGGTAAGTGTATTTCAGGTGGAGCAAAAATTACTTTAGCTTGATCTGAAATTAAACAAAATTGAATGGTCCATACAGTAATGTAATCGACAAGTAATTAATACATTGAACGTTTAGAAAAGCTTTGGCTGTTTGCTTCTCTCCTTCAATATTTGTAACTTCACATTCATATTCTCCGCAATCACCCATATCTGTCGGATTGATAACTAGAGTGTTTTCTTTAGTTATATAAGATCTTTTTATTAAATCCTGGAATTCTTTCAACGGGATCCCATCTTTATACCAAATCACTTTTAAGTCAGGGTCTTTTACCAAACATATAAATTTTGCTTCTTCACCTTCAAGTGTTGTTTGATTAATTGGAGGAATTGCTAATAAGTTACCCCCTAAGTAGATAAATTATGCTAATATGGACATATAAACAAACATGTGTTTGTTTTCTTACCATTTACTGTTAAATGAAACCATGTACCATTATTTCGTGAACTAGGTGTTCTATTTGGAAATAGTACTTCACATTCAAACCATCCACTATCTGTATCTCGAATTGATGTTAAATTTACGGAGGCTTTTCCATAACGACGATCTCCTATACTGGCAACATTAACTAAATCAATCCTACCAACAAATGGATCCGTAGACGTCATCACCCCATCGTACCATGAGAATATGGTTTTGCCCTGCAAAAATATATATATTTAGTCTTAAAAGTAGATAGAAATGGGTATAACAAACTACTGACCGGTGTCGAAAGACGGGTCTTTTTTAGAAAACAAGATCAGATAATATACAAAATAAAGTTTACATTACTTCAATATAAAATGGTAAAAATTCAACAATTAAACTTCAGGAGACTTCAGATCGAACCTCGACTAATTGGAAAACACTACACGCCTACAGTCACCTTGGTCCTAAATTTGATGATCAACTTAACCTCTACTGCCATTTTTGAAAGTGGATGATCCAATGGCTAATTTCGAAATATCCAATAAGGAAGCTGCTGGTTTTTATAGTTAGATTATGTATTATCGTCAAATTTTACAAAAAATTTTTGAAAGTGTAATTTACAGTTCCATATATCCTTGCGTAAAAAACTTATTGTCAGTCAAACAGCATGGCTTTATCCGTGGCCGTTCAACAATCAGTAACCTCACTTGCATCACACATTGTTTATCAAATTGTTTGGATAATAATTTACGGGTCGATGTAATTTATACCGACATATCAAAAGCATTTGACCGCATAAATCACATTAATCTTCTGTGTAAACTACGTCAATTTGGTTTTTCTACTCCTCTCTTATCTTTATTTACTTCGTACTTACATGACAGAAAGTTGAGTGTTGTCTATAATAACTGTAAGTCTACTAATTATTTACAATCATCAGGTGTGCCCCAGGGTTCAAACTTGGGTCCACTTCTCTTCCTTCTTTACGTAGATGATATTACTGCTCATATTTCTAACTCTCACTGTCTTTTATACGCAGATGATTTAAAGCTTTACAGAGTTGTTAATTGTGAAGAAGATTGTCGATTAGTGCAGGAAGATCTTAACAGAGTTAGTAGATGGGGTGATAATAATGATCTTCTATTAACACAGATAAATGTCATATAGTTTCGTATTCTAGCAAACTCAACGTACTACATTTCGATTACTTAATATGTGACGCAAACCTCAATAGGTTGACTTTGCAAGGGATCTTGGAGTAATATTTGACATGAAACTAAGTTTTAATGACCATATGAATCATATTGTTACATCGTCTCTTAAAGTATTAGGTTTCTTAATTCGAAATACAAAATCATTCACTGATCCTAAAGCTCTTATGTCATTATTTTATTCATTGGTTCGTTCCAAACTTGAATACGCATCTATTATATGGTCGCCATTCTACAATTATCAATCACTCAATTTAGAATCTGTGCAGCGACGCTTTTTAAAGTATTTGTATTTTCGAACTCACGCTGTGTATCCCCCAAATGGATATTCACAACTCTCGGAATATCATATTGGGTTCCTTCGCTCCAGACGTAATACTGCTGGTGTAATTTTTTTGAAAAAACTTTTAGCGGACACCATTGACTGCAGTGACTTATTGTGTCAATTATCGTTTAACATCCCTAGGTCTAAAAGCAGAAATCCAGATCCGTTCAAATGACCCCATTGTAGGACTAATTTAGGGTTAAATTCACCATTATACAGGATGTGCAAATCTATGAATCAAGTAGCAGACTGTTGTGACATATTTGTTTCAAGTATTAGTGCAATTTTACGCAACTTTAGTGATGTGAACTGTACTGTTTAAAGCAATATAATATGATACTACTTAATTTTTATTTTATATTTAGGGTGCAGATTTAGAGAGCACTGCACTGTATTTTGTAATTTTTGTAATTATTTCTTTAATTATGTATAATTTTTTTTTCTTTGAATTGTATCTTAATTTAATTATAATTGTATCTTAATTTAATTATAATTGGATAATAATCTGTTGGGCAATAAAGTCTTACTATTAATATTATTATTATTAATGATATTATTATTTGGTAAGGTCTCCTAACAGGCCTGGACCCAATTACTAGGAGCCAATAAAGAATTGTCAAGCACACAAATATTCCTACCTAACTTGATTACAAATTTATATATTAATAAATATTAGCTCCTACATGTTGTAACACTCCCTAATATCCAGCCTTTTACAACAAAATATATCAACCTTCTTTTCGATAGCCTTATAAGCTAGCATCTGGTATAGAGGCGATGATTTCATTATATGTATTTGTCCTGGGATTTTCTTGTTTAAATATAGAATAGGATCTTAAATTACGTTCCAAAACCCGTACCTTTATCAACGCCACTAGTTTTTCTCATTTAACCGTATTATTTAATATACCATGCAGGAAAAGTACATACGCATATTGCCTTCTCGTTAGCAGACTTATTACCTCGAAACGTTGACATAATGAAAAGCCTCTACATGGATAAACCCCATCCCGCCTAGAAGCTATATACTTCAGCATACGCCTCTGAACCCTCTCCACGGTGTCGCAATGAATCTGATATATGGGACTCCATATGACGGAAGCATATTCAAGGCGGGATCTAACTAATGCATACAACAACAGTTTGACCACTTCAAGATCCTGAATTTCACGCGAATTACGAATTGCAAACCCCAAGGATGTTGATGCTGATATTGAAACCTTCCTGACATGCTCAACGAAATTCAATTTCGCGTCATATGTGACTCCGAGATCTTTTATAAACTATGGACGCTTCAGAATTTTCCCATCCATTTTGTAGTCAAAATCTTGAGTTTGTCTTTTTGTGGTGTAAGACATTATGAAACATTTCTCGCTAGTCAAAGATAGTTGATTATTTTTGGACCATATAACTACACGATCTAAGTTTGATTAAAGCCGTTTGCAATCCTCAACACTGTTAATCTCAAAGAAAAGTTTCAGGTCATCAGCATATAACAGATATTCGACATCAAGCTGGTTGGTAATATATAAATATTAAAAAGCAACGGACCCAGAATAGATCCCTGAGGGACCCCAGACAATTGAGTAAATTTGTTATACGAGAAACCCTTGTGTTATACATATTGAGACCTACCACATAAATAGGAACCAAGAAGTTTAATTAATGGGTCTGAAAAACCAAAACCTTCCAATTTATTAAGCAATATTGCATGGTTGATTCGGTCAAATGCCTTCAAAAAATCCGCATAGGCACAATCTACCTGGCTACATCTATCAAGGCGATCAGCCAAATACTGAGTCTTTACAAACAAGTTAGTCACCGTTGACTTTCCCTTCACAAACCCATGCTGTCGTGGTGTTAGACAATTAACGATATGTGGATATGTTATATGATGTTATATGATTATAACACAATTTCAAAAACCTTGGCAAAGTTATTTATGAGCGTAATTGGTCTATAATTTCCTATTTCATTTCGTCGACCTGATTTATGAATAGGAACAATACGAGATATTTTCCAGCTGTTTGAGAAAACAGACTCTCCTAATATCAAGTTGAATATTATGGATAAAGGTTTTGCGAAAATAGTTGCACAATCCTTAACCAAAAACGAAGGTATCATATCGGGACCTGCAGTCAATGATGGTTTCAGACGTTTGATAGCCCTATATACCGTTTCTTCTTCTATGTGTTTAATATGTAGAACATCACTGCATAGTTTAGTAATGGGCGTAGTCAGCTGCAATGAATCTGGTGTAAACGATGTTTTGAAATGATCTGAGAATGCATTGACTTTGAAGACTATTAAATTCAATATTCTCATGCGTCATTATTGACGGAATTTCTGACAGATTATTTTTCCCGTTTATGTATGCCCAGAACTTTTTTGGGTCAGTTTTAATACCTATAACTACTTTGCGTACGTAGGATAAGTAAGAGCTTTTCATTAGGTTCTTAGCTTCAGTTCTTAATGCTTTGAAGTATTCATAGGTTTTCACATTTTTTTCTAACTTATTTTGTTTCCAAGGCCTATGTTTTTGACGCAGAATTGGAATAATTTCGGAGTTATACCATTTCGGATAATGTCCCCGTGATGATTGTTTCAATGGAACGCAAGATCTAAAATTATTAAATAGAACCCCATATAAGGAATTTACCGCTTCCTCAACATTACTAACAGAGTTTAAGAAAGAAACGTCCAGTGCACACAAACTTGCATAAAGGTGGTGGAAATTAGCTTTCCTAAAATTAAATTAAAAATTATTTGCATTGCTACAAAACGGAAGAGACTTTTTTTGTCTACTTCAAACACAATAGTAATTGCAGGATGATAAAGATCATCAGATGTCAGTAGTTCAGCGCAGTGTCTGACCTCGCACTTAATATTAGTGAATACAAGATCCAATAAACGCATACCAACATTTAAAACAGTATTTTTCTGCAATAAGTTGAAAAAATTCTTAAAATCTTTGCAGGTACTGACAATATTAGAGTAATTGGCGACCGATCCTATGCAGCTAAAATACTCAGAAATGTTGAAATCTCCCAATATTATTACTTCCGTTTCGAACAAAACATTAACTGACATGAGAGAATCAGAGAGGAGTCTATAGTCCTCAACAGATGTAGCAGGAGGAATATACAAGGCAACAATGTAAATAGATTTATATCCCACTCTTACTTTAACAATTAAGATGTCTATATGCTGCAAGTTTTTGAAATTTTTACATAACAATTCTGTTTTTATTTGCTCCTAAAAAATTAAATCACTTTAGTTTTTCGGATTCTCTGATAAAATTATTTGAATCATATCTATCTAGTTAGCAGATCCTAGTACGTACAGTATCGTTGTCATAGGTCGAAAAAAAATTTTCTAGCATCGTGTGTGCCCCAAGGGTCGAATTTAAGGCCGCTGCTCTTTTTATTGTTTAATAATGACCTTGCTGATGTTATCAAAAGTGACAATTTGCTGTATGCTGACAATTATAAAGTCTTTAAAATCGTAAATTCTATTGAGGACTGTAAAGCGCTTCAGTATGATCTTTATGCTATCCACAACTAGTGTATTCATCTTTTTACTTCCCGAGCGTAAGCAAAGGAAGTATTGTAATCGAGTCCGTCGGTCGACTCTCTACTTTTACGTTTTCTCGATCTTTCATGACCCCTAGAAGACGAAGAAATAGGTCTCCCATTTC